ACACACACAGACACTCGAACCACACACACACACACACATACACACACATTCACACACTCACACAAACATTTACACACACTTTCAAATTCTTATACACAAACACTTAAACGCACGCTTACAAACGCACACTTACAAATATTTACGCATGCATACACAAACATTTATACATACACTTATAAACACTTATATGCACACTTACAAACACTTCCACACACAACACACACTTACAAACACTTCCACACTTACAACCCATTTCCACACCCTACCCATTCCCAAGCTCCCTCCTCCCTCTCCCTCAGGCACCTTCTCCGGCCTCCCCAACCTGCGCAGGATCGACCTCTTCAAGGACGACTTGAGACACCTCCAGGAAGGGGCCTTCGAGACCTCCAGCGACTCCTTCCGCGAACTGGTTCTGACGGCGAGCAATGTCAGCAGGATTGAGCGCCACGCCATCACAGGTGAGGAAGGGGTGGGGGTGGGGTGGGGGGTTTGTTGTTTCTTTTTTTCTGTGTTATGTGTTTTTTTATGTCTTCTGTCTCTTTCTCTCTCTCACTCTCTCTTTCTCTGTCTCTGTCTCTCTCTCTCTCTGCCTCCCTCCCTCCTTTCTCCTCTCCCATCCACTCCTCTCTCTCTCTCTCTCGGTCTCTCTCTCTCTCTCTCTCTCTCTCTCTCTCTTCTCTCTCTCTCTCTCTCTCTCTCTCTCTCTCTCTCTCTCGTCTCTCTCTCTCTCTCTCTCTCTCTCTCTCTCTCGTCTCTCTCTCTCTCTCTCACACAACACACACACACACACACACACACACACACACACACCACACACACACACACACACAACACACACACTCGCGCGCTCCATCTCCTTTCCTCTCTCTTTTCCTCTTTCCTCTCCATCGTCTTTTCTTTAATTGTGATAATTTTAGGTTGTTCCATTGAAAAAAAAATAAAAATATAAAAAATAAATAAATAGATATATAATAATGATAATAATAATAATAATAATCGGAGGTTTATCGATATTAAACCACGTGATTTTTTTCTCTCTCTCTCTTCCCACGCCCATCCACCGCAGGTCTGAAGGGCGGTTCCCTCTGGCTCGATGACAACGCCCTCGCGAGCCTCGACGAAGACGCCTTCCGACCGCTGCTCAGTGACGTCCAGGCGGTCTATCTCGCAGGTGGTCTTTGCGTTTTGTGAAGGTTGGGGTGACGGTGCGGGGGGGGGGGGGTAGGTCAAGGTAGGTCAAGGTAGGGAGGGGGGTGGGGAAAGGTAAGAGGGGGTGAGGAATGGTAGGGAGGGGGTGGGGAAAACGTTAGGGAAGTCAGGGAAGGGAGAGGGAGGGATGGGGTGGGGAAGGATGGGAGGTGAGTGGGGGATAGGGGGGGAGGGGAGGGGGTTGGGAAGGATGGGAGGTGAGTGGGGGATTAGGGGGGAGGGGAGGGGGTTGGGGATAGGATAGGGGAGGGAGTGGGGAGTGGGATGGATGCGAGAAAAAAACAATAGTAACACAACAACAATAATAAATTTTATTATAATAACATTGATAACGATAATGATAATAAAAAAGATAAGTAAATATAATATATGAATCAATATTAAACATTAAAAATTAGAAAGCGCAGCCTTACCCTCCCCTCGCCCCCCTGCATAACCCTACAAAACCAAAACATCACACAAAAGCACTCCTCTTGATTTTCATCATCAATTCCCCCCCCCTTCACCTCTCTCCCCCCTTCACCTCTCACCAGGAAACCCCCTTCAATTCCCCACCCCCTTCACCTCTCTCCCCCTTCACCTCTCACCAGGAACCCCCTTCAATTCCCCACCCCCACCTCTCTCCCCCCTTCTCTCACCAGGAAAACCCCTTCAATTCCCACCCTTCACCTCTCTCCCCCCTTCGTCTCTCACCAGGAAACCCCCTTCAATTCCCCACCCCCTTCACCTCTCTCCCCCCTTCTCTCTCACCAGGAAACCCCCTTCAATTCCCACCCCTTCACCTCTCTCCCCCTTCTCCCAGGAAAACCCCTTCAATTCCCCACCCCTTCACCTCTCTCCCCCTTCCCCTCTCACCAGGAAACCCCTTCAATTCCCCACCCCTTCACCTCTCTCCCCCTTCTCTCTCACCAGGAAACCCCCTTCAATTCCCCACCCCTTCAATTCTCTCACCAGGAAACCCCTTCAATTCCCCCCCCTTCACCTCTCTCCCCCCTTCCCCTCTCACCAGGAAACCCCCTTCAATTCCCACCCCTTCACCTCTCTCCCCCCTTCATCTCTCACCAGGAAACCCCCTGAGTTGCAGCTGTGACATCGCCTGGCTCGTGCGAAGACCCGCGCTCATGGCCCGGGTTGCAGACGACGCCACTTGCAACAACGGTCAGCTGTTGGTAGACCTTGACCCGGCCATGTATGACGCCCTCTGCTGAGTTCTAGGGCGTGACCTCGGTTGACCTCGCTCGCTGTCTGGGTCATGTCAGCTGATGGAGTCATGAATAAATTTTCAGTTGAG